TATGTGGCTCTGGCCCTTGGGGACAACCTGATGGCTCTTAACCATGCAGATAAGCTCTTACATCAGCCCAAGCTGTCAGGATCCCTCAAGTAAGTCTCTCAACTTCTCTTTTCAAAGTTTCAAAGTAAGTCTCTCAAAGTCTCTTTTCAAAGTCCTTGCATTCCATTCTAGAGATCACTATTATCCTTTTTTATTTTGATGCCATATTGATGGATGGATGGTATGAATGACAAACGAATGACTGTATGGTTAAACCAGTCAGGCCACACTCCTTGATCCTTCTCTCTTTTTGTATCTCTCTCTCTTTCTCTCTCCATATGTGTGTGTTTGTGTATATATATGTATATAATTCTATAAAGCTTTCACTGAAATTGTTTTAAGGTGTTCTGTTAAATCAGTTGATTTTAGTCTGATTATATTTTCTGTGTCAAAGGGAATTTTACTGATTTCTCAATTTTTGCTTAATGTAAACATTTAAGATGTGAAGTCAGTTAGAGTGGTTTGATATGAAGTGCTCCATTCTAGAGAATTTGTTCACAACAGCAGTGACAGAAACCAGATGTCCATACCAGTTAATGCCCCTAAAAGCTGCCTCAAAGAAAGCTATTAGGCGGAATGTTTAAGAATATAATGCCTGAAATCAGACATAGTCAGAAATATTATTTGAAGTGATGCTGTTAGTATGAAATATAGTTTTCATCAGTCTGTTTTTCTGGAATAATGTTGCATAGCTGTTAGCTGTAGTAAAGCAGCTGGTATTTCAGTTGTTGAGTATAATAAGACATGCCACAACTGATGCTCTGGAAGTCTTTCCTCAATGTTTCTGAAAATTCCTGCCATAAAACACCTGTCTTTATAATTATAATATAATTATATTATGACTTAAATGGCCTCAGACATTTAGCTAAATTGTTCCAGGGTCAGTTTATGATGTGTCCTGGTGGTCAGTAACAGGGTTAATGCCTGTCCTCAGGTTCCTGGGTCATCTGTACGCTGCTGAAGCTCTAATCTCTCTGGACCGCATCTCTGATGCTATCGCTCACCTCAACCCAGAGAATGTTACTGATGTATCACTAGGAGTTTCACCCAGTGAACAGGACCAAGGTAAACACCCACGTCAAAGAGCTGAAAGTGTGCATACAAAAAATAATTGGACTGTTTCTTTTTTATCTGGTTTTCACACATCTGTCTGAATCTGCAGGTTCAGATAAAGGGGATCTAGAGCCAGTTGAGTCCTGTGAGTGTTCTGCATCATTATCTTTTTCTGCTTCTGATAGCACTAGCCTGTGTAGTTTTTGCACAGTAATAAAATATTTAAGACATTTGTACACAATATCACAGCTGTGTTTCTGTGTTTTGTCTATCAGCACTTAAAGTGAGAATGCAGTGGTCTGAAACTCTCTGTATCTGTGTGTGTGTGTGTGTGTGTGTGTAGCAGGGAAGCAGACTCCTCTGTGTTATCCCAGTACTGTCAGCTCTGCAAGGGCCATGATGCTTTTCAATTTGGGCAGTGCTTACTGTCTGCGGAGTGAATATGAAAAAGCACGCAAGTGCCTTCATCAGGTAAAGAAAGACACACATACATTTAAACATTTGGCCCTGATAACTGGTTTGTCTAAATCAAACATTTCCTAATCTTCTCATTGTGATTTAGTGATACATTAGATTATTAAAGTATATTTAGAAGGGTTAATGTGGCTATTCAAGCTTAGCACCACATTATGAGAAAATGTTTATGGTTAGTATTTTCTTCTAATTCAAAGCAAAATTTAAACCAGTGTGTTCTGCACATAATGAAATACGCTGGACGTATTTTAAGAGAATTATATGTCGGTTCAGTCCAATAGTGTTGAATGACAGTGCAGACACCTCATCTGTAACATACCAATGATAAACATGCAACTTAAGGTCGTAACTCAAACCATGTTTCTTTTGTGGACTGAAAAGCTGAAATGTTTTAAACCATGTCATGTATGTTACAAGTATCTTGACTCCCTGAGGTAAGATGACTGTAGGCATGGTGTAACTGTGTGTTTGTTTCCCTTTCTCTCCCTATAGGCAGCTTCCATGGTCAATCCAAAGGAAATTCCCCCAGAAGCTATTCTATTGGGTGTCTACCTAGAGCTGCAAAATGGTACTTTCAAAGCCCTGATCTTGAGCTATATTAAAATGAGCAACTGTAGTACTACAGTAGCAACATAAAAACCGAATGCCCACGTTGCACTTTCTGCATTTGCTTGCTTGGAGCTAATAGCGTATACATTTATTGTTAGCTTTATAAAGTGACCGTTTTACAGAGCACATCTCCTGCATCCATCCATCATCTCTAACAGATAATCAGTATCTGCAGTTTTAGTAAGTGGGGGTGATTGATCTGCTTGGCTCTTGCAGGTAACACACAGCTGGCTCTCCAGATCATCAAACGGAACCAGTTACTCCCATCAGTCAAGCCCTCGTCCTCTCCAGACCTGCGCAAGAAGCCTCCACCTTTCCAGCCAGGCCAGCCCATTCAGCCCATAAAGATGCCCTCTTCCTTCACACAAGTTCAGCGCAAATGATGTACACCCCCCCCACCCCCCCACCCAGTGTCATACACCTTTTTAACACTTACTATTTATGAGCTTGGAGCAGCTTGGTGAAACAGGCCGGATAAAGGGATTGGTAGGGAGGGCTGAAGGAAGGAAAATGGAGGTTGGGGAGAATTAATCTCTTACCATTGGAGAGGAGTTGCTTTTTGAGAACTTGTCATCTGTTAAAACTGTATATTGACATCTTCTGGGGGCCATGAAATCCTAAATAAATTTTATTTACACTAATTTGTTTTTTTTTAACTGAAAGTGTTTTCTGTTTCTCTTCCGCAATTTTATTTCTTTGCCTTGGTGGAGCTCAGGTGAATGTTTTACCACCACTTCACATGTCTATTCAAATGTATGTTTTAAAATAATAATAGTCGATCAGTTTTATGCAGCGATCTCGTCACAGGACGGTTATTTTCCACAATAGCTGTATCGTTCCGCTGAGCACCGGTTGCCAAGTAGCGACTGCTGCAGTTAACCGTTACCGGTAAGTTTCTACTTCAGCACATGCAAAAACAGAAACTGGACACGCTAGATAACTTATACAAGATAATATTTCTCTTGTAGCACGTTTAGTCAGCCTCTGAAGAAGAGCGTGACGGCAGGACAACCTCAAATTCCGAACATTTCTGACATTTGACCCTAAGCGAGCTTTTCGGTGGACAGATGAGCAGCTAAACAAACTGGAATTGGCCAGAAACGAACAGTATAGAGACTGCTAAACAAGATGAGCTGTGAAATAGTTTAAGTTTTACAGACTGGCTAGAACGAAACAGCAGTCTTAAAAAAATATAGACTGGACTTAGCATCGTGACCGTTTATGTGTCTGTCCGTAACGCAAAGGGTTAGTATTTTTGGGCGGAGGAACTGCTAGTATTAAAGCACGTCCGAGGATGTCTGCGGCCGCATCACAGTCGTGATGTTATTCGCAAACTCCTTCATATGCTGTACTGAATAAATCGACTTAATACGACGGTAGTTTAAAATGTAGAGCATTCCAAAGGGCAAGATCATAAAAACTCACTTTTTCCCATTTTAAAGGTATTGCGTTACACTTACATCTTATTTCGTTACTGTATAATGAATTTTGACTTTAAAGAGGTGCAGGGTCACTCCGGTCTTAAATGATTTAATGTGAAGGACCATTAAAAGCATTTGATAGCTAGCGGAGAGGTGTTAGAATGGGTTATATGCTCTTCCTTCTAAGTCTGTTAATACTCTGTGTACTGTTCAGAGCTGTCTAATGAACAACTGATTCCTACAACTTTTTCAGCTGTGGCAACTGAAGAGGAAATGCTAGTAATTTTATAACATCAAAAACATTAAAAATGAACCCAGTTATTGCTGTAAATGATAGTGAGTGTAAATTACTAAGAATGCTGCACTTTCACACATCCCTACTTTCAAATGGTTTTCCTCCCCTTAAAGCAGTCCTATTGAAGAACGATTAGCATAAACTTAAGAAGGGCCATTTTGCCTCTAATTTGGGATGCTAGTGCCCATTCTGTTGTTTCTGTAGATCTCAAACAAATGGCTGCTCAATGTGTAATGCACTCTCCCTGCTGACCTGTGCTCAGGCCAGTTCACTGGGGGTGGACAGACCACCTCTTTCTTTCATGTGTGGTCCGTCCCATTCCCCTCTTTGTCTCTGTGTCTCGAGGGTGGCCGGTCCCCTTTCCCATGTTTGCAGCTTTTCTCATGCTAAATCTTTTTACCACCCCCCCTTTCCTCTCATCCCCTCCCCCATCTGTCTGCATTGTTGCTCAGATCTCACTCTGACATGTTCTGTCAATGATCTCCCAGAGAAAGCGAGAGGCAGATCCTTTGTTAAAGCCTTTAAAAGAACTGGGCTACTTCAAACATAATGCCTCTGTTCATACTGCAACTTTGGATGTTTTACTTAAAAATAAATTCCTGTATGTGCCTTAATTTCAGGTTATACATTTAGAGCAATACGGCAGCTTAAAAAGTATGTGTGCTTTCTAAAACCTGATAAACTCCATACAAAAAAGGCAATTCTGTGAATAGCTTTAATGAAATATCTGTGCCATCATTGTATCAGATTTAAGCAATCCAACACTTTGTGGGAGATTACAGGACACAGATTAACAGCATTCCACTGAAATTTGACCATAGCTGTTTGCATGTGTAAACCTGGTTTAGACCAGTTATTTTAAGAGGCCATCTGCACAGCCATTCTGCTTATCATGTAGAGTGAAGCTGAGCTGTGTTGACCTTGTGGGCAGGGCCCTGCCATGACCCCTGCCCCTTTGGTATGTAGACACTCTGGTTCCTCACTCTACACTGGTGGCCGTGCTGGCTTTTGTTAATGTTAAAATTAGATACACTTTTTGAAATCACAATTTTGACAAGAGGCTGGAATACTGGAAAATGAAAACAGCAACTGAAGACACTGACCAGAAATTCAGGATCCCAAGAGATACAAGTTTATTTAAGTGTAAACAACCAAACATAAAATCAAAAACTGCATAGGAAAATGTTTAAAGTCCACAAAAGAAAAGAGCACAAGACTGTAGACCACCAAATATTTCATACAGTCTCCTCAGTCTGACCCAGACAGGAATCCATGAGTATTTTGTTCTGATTGAAAGTTTGGGGATGGTGAGTGCTGCTTAGAGAGCAAGAGAGGGAGAGTAGAGAATGATAAAACTAACTGCGAACCTCTTGGAGGGCACCAAACATTACATCCACCCAAGATGACAGACCAGGAATCTGCATTTGCTACTTCGATTCTATCCTAATCATTATATTTTAAAAGGCAAAACTGAGCCCTGGTCTGAACTTAAGGCAGCCATCTATCCACATCTCTTGGCTTAGCCTGTCTCACAGCCAAGCCCACGATCCAGTAACGATCAAACAAAAAGCTGTGATGATTTGAAGAAATGGAGACACGATATACTGTAATACAATTTGGATTCCTAAATATACAAAAAAATGGACTGCTGTTATCAGAAAAAACACTGTAATAAGGAATTTCTGATGCATCCCAAGGCAAAATAATTTCTTTAGGCAGCCAGTTTATTTCTTTGGTCAATTTTGATTCTCAGTATACTGAACTTTGAGTATCTCTCCCATCAATACAGCAATCAACAAGATCACATCCTCATGGTATCAAAAATATCTCAGCGCAGTTGCTTTAGTGCTATTTGAATTGTTGAATTTAGACAGCCGTTTCTCTAAATATTACATTTTGCTCACCCCCCAATTGAAAGTTAACACAACTAATTGCAAATTTGGTTGTAAAGGATCCTATGGAATTCAACAACAGCAACAAGTTTTTTTTTCTTTTTTTTTCATAGATCAATACAATAAATGCACACACAAAATAGATACTAACTTTTATGAAGTACTAACAAAGGATTTTCTATCCGATTGTAAGAAACAAATATTGAATTCGAATCAAATCTCTAGAAAGCTACCTGAGTTTTTTTGTGTTTTTCTTTTCTTCATAGATAATACAATCATAAAAAGACCATGCACTTCTGAACTGTTTACATTTTCCTTCTGCTTTTTCCAGATTAGGAAACAGGTCAAAAGCTGGAATACACCATAATTGGTGGGAAACCCGTACAGACACTGACCAAAGGTCCTATCAAGAGATACCATGCAGCGATTAGACATTCTGAAGGGCACCGTTCGAGTCCGATTAACAGCAAAGACTTCTTGTAGACATGTCCCTATTCGTCATACTGTACTGGCACTATGTTCTGAGAAGGTGAGCTAGCCCTCACAATTTAATCTGCTCTTAAGGAGCTTTCCGAATAGCCACCACACAAAGCATATACCGATGCAACAAATTTCGGGTTTAGTGGGCTGACACATGATAGTTCCTCCGTATAGATTTCTCAGTATATCTCCTAAATCAGTTGTAATAGGATACTTTTACCAACACCATTACTAACAGGGAGGGGAAAAAAACAGAGCAAGCTCTTTGGCAGTTTTCAGAGTCTGATTAAATTCCAAAAGAGGAGCGGAAAAGAAGGGGAAAAAAAGTTGAAGTTTACTGCAGCAGTGTTAAGGCATATTTAAACCTTTCTCCTAAGGTCTCACACTAAAAAGTACCTTGCTCTGTAAAGCTATTTATTAAACAGTAATACAATCGTGTAGTCAAAGCCACCCACCGCAAACCAACAAAAGAACATTTTTGGTATATATCCATATGTGTCATTGTCTCCCCTCCATCACCTCTTTCCACATACACATGTCTACAAGGGCTTTTAAAGCATGCAAAAATAATTCTTTTTTTCTCTTAAAGAGAAGAGATTTCTTTGGATCTCTGAATGACAGAGCCGCATCTAAGTTTCAAACACATTAAATAATGGACATTAATACTGAATGAGAGGGCAAATCGATGTGAAGATTTATAAGTAGCAAAATTCATGTTTCATTATTTATTCCACTACTGCCCAATGCCCACACTCTTCTCTCCTCTCAATATACCTTAGTCATTTACATTTTCTAATTGTTTATCACCCTGCAACTCTGGGATCAGGTTCCTTACTTGCTGAACTGGTCTTGCTAACCGTTTTGGATAAGCAGCTCAAGCAATGGCAACTCTTTGTGTATACAACCCTTCTTCTACAACAGCAAGTTAATGCTAGACTTTGACTCCATTCTTCTGAGAAACCAAGGGTAAAATACTCAATATGACAGCAATCTAAAGACCAGCTTCAGAACCAGTGTCCATGTACATTTCTTTTTTGGCACATGCCTATTTCCAGTTGTCACCATTTGGCAAGACAGAATTCTGAAGCATGTGAATGGAACAAACGGGTACAAAAAGCAGCAGCCTATATAGAAATACTGTCAGCGCATTACACCAAGAAATTAGCCACTATTTGCCTTGCCACTCATAGAAAAGCTGCCAAGCATGTGAACATTCTTCCATTTCAAAAATCAAAACGGGATGCATCTCATAGATGGAGCCTCCATTTAATGCTAAATTAGAGCAGAATAAGACTAGCCTAGCAACTGTGCCTGATTTTACCTTTTGTTTCTGAAAAGGTATATACCAGACCTAAGAGCAGACATCTAGTGACACACTGTCAGCAAGAAAAGCCCTCATAAATCTCACCTCCACCACAATTCAAGCAGCTTTACAGACAGGAAAGCCTGACTAGAAAAGAGATGCCGACCTAAAGCAGCACCTGACATGCAGACTTTTTAGGCCTTGGCAAGGGCATGTGGTCGGAACAAGCAGTTATACATATTTCTAACTGCCTTTCAGTGAAAACTTGACCAGACTTTGCTGGAAAGTTTTATTTTCAAATGGACATTTTTTTTAATTACATGTCTTACATGGAAAACTGCTGTGTACTGTTGGACTTATGGATGTCAGTGCTTGTCTTTTTTGTTGCTTTCCAATGCTTTCTTTTTAATAAATAATCAAAGAAGCAGGCAATAGCATTCATTAAAGTGGTTCCCCACAAATAAAGCAAAACATCTCTAATTTTAGACCACACTCAAATGATTCGATTTGTTTTCAAACTGTGTTCCACTGACAGAGCAAATGGTCTCCCAAGAGATCCAAGTTATTTCTTTTTGGATTTGGCCAATAAATACATTCCAGACATTTGGAAAGGCCTTTCATCAAAATAAACAATGGAGTCCTACCAGGTTTGGATTACATCCAAGTTTGCCAATTACAGCAAGTCAGCCATGTGCCAAACAATCTTTCTGATAATCTTCACTTCATCTTAATGGTGCATTAGATGAAGAACAAACAAATACATAAATAAGCAAAATAAGGGATGATTAAATTTTATCATAGGTCCCAAAGAATTTATAATAAAAAAGTAATCTTCATAGCATTCTTTTTGCCCCTTTTCTTTTAAATGTTTTTTTTGAAATGGGAGCTATTAGTTTCTTGCATTATTCAACTCTGGACTCTATTCTGTACTAATAGACTTACCAAGTAATTTAGCAAAAGCTCGTAATAATTATTTCTGTAGGCAATCATGCATTTTGGTAGTTGGTAGTTTTCCATAGGCTTGCATAATCTTTAAATGAAAAACAACACAAAGTGAGGTATGCAAAATGAGGCAACTGTACACAGAGGTACATTTAAGCTGTGAGGTAAGAGGTTTAGATGAGGTATGACGCAAATGAAAAATTTTAAAACATGAAATTCAGAAAAAAAAACAGTAGATTTATCAAAACATTATCCAAATGTTTCTGCCCATGCAGCCCTAGTCTTTTGGTGCACTGTACTCAAACATTCAGGGGTCCAACCTGTGTTCTGCGCACAGTAACAATCAGAAGAAATTTGTGCGAGCTGTGCAAATATCAACCAAACATTGCTTCATTTCTTATGTTATGTTCTCTGACTCTACAAATAAAAAAGCACTGAGGTAGACGTCTTTATAAAACTTCACAGAACAGACTCTGCACACACAAGAGAGTACATTCATACATAGGCTAGATGAGGTAGGTATAATGCAGAGACAGAAAATTATTTCAAGAATGCTAGAAATTCCCTGAGAAAAAAATCAAACAAACAAGAAAGATTTCAAGACACAGATCAAGAGCAAAATAGCCTAAACTACCAGCGACCACAGTCTTTTTGCTCTACTCCTACTCAAATGGCTTGTGTACAACAGGGACACTTTCGCCAGCAGCGCAAATTAAACTACAATCATGATAAATATAGATGTGTAAAAGGCTCTGTACTACTGCCATACTTTCAGCCATGTTTGCTCCTGATGAGTGTGTACCTAAATCTTCTTTTTACCTCCTCAGCTACCATATATTTCAAACCTTGAACAAAGTAGCTCAGAACATGAGGATTCGGTTGTTTCCGAAGTCAACGGCTACAATCATTCCGTCAGGGGTAACAGCTATACCCGATGGGCGATCCATCTGCCCGAAGCCGCTACCCTGAGTCCCGAACTTGCATAAGAAGTTGCCGTTGGGTTCAAACACCTGAATACGATGGTTTCGAGAGTCAGCCACGATAATGCGATCCTCCTGGTCTACAGCTACGCCTTGCGGACGCAAGAACTGCCCATTACCCGTTCCCTCGGAGCCAAGAAAGCGAGCCGACTGGCAGTCAGGCCTGATGACGAGCAGACGATGATTGTTGAAGTCAGTCACCACTAGGTGGCCCTCCTGATTGAAGGCAACTCCTCGAGGAGAGTCGAAATGCTTCCAGAGGGCGCCTTCGAAACCGTACTTGTTGAGGAACACTCCATCAGGCCCAAACAGCTGTACTCGGTGGTTACGCGTGTCTGAGACCAGAATCTTCCCCTCCAAATTAACAGCCACATCCCAGGGGTAGTTGAACTGCCCATTTTTGGTTCCCTTTTCACCAAACTTGAGAAGGAACTGACCATCGAAGGTAAAAATCTGGATGCGATGATTGTCCTTATCAGCCACAATGATTCTCCTCTGGCTGTCGCAGGCAACCCCCGCAGGTCGGTCAAACTGGCCAGGCCGTGAGCCCAAAGTGCCGAATTTGTGGTGAAAGGTGCCACATGGCTTGAAGATCTGGATGCGATTGTTGCTTCGGTCAGCCACAATCACATAGCCTTCCTTATCAACACAGATCCCCCAGGGTCGACATAACTGTCCATCACCATCACCCTCTCCACCAAAGGATGCAACAGGCAGACCAATGCCTCCATAGCTGCGGCCAGATTTGACCATGACTTTGAAGGGGCTTCCCTCAATGTGCTGGTTGCAGATAAGCACGGAGAGTAGGTGCTCACCTTCACTTTTGGGGAGGTAGCTGACTGTGTAGGAGCCATCCTGGTGGTCAGATACATCGGCACTCGACAGGTTTCCATCTGGACTCATTAAGACCACAGAAACACCATCACCACCAGACAGCCGTGGCTCTCCGTCGTGGTCGTAACCCACCACCGTAAATGAAGTCAGCTTTCCCTGCAGAGCTCTCTTGAGGCCTTCCCCATGGGCTTTGGTGGCTGATGCAAAAGCTCCACTGCTGATGAGGCCCATGGACTTAATGGCAATCAGAAGCGCCTGATCTGGAGGTGTGAACATAATTCTGTCGTCCTCCTGTGGCTGCAGAATGCAGCGTAGCGCTTTGAGCTCCTGCAGCTGGTTCAGCATGTGCTCGCGTGCTAGCAGGATGTCCATGCTGCGACCCTCCTCCAGCACCTTTGTCACTGTAGCAATAGTGCTGTCCAGCTTGGTGAGGTTCTGGTGGAGCTTCTCTACCTGAAGGTACAGTGACTTAGCCTTCACTTGGCGGATCTTCTCCAACTGTACAGGGAAACAAGAATGGAGAATGGAACAGGGAAGAGACGATGCTTTAAAAAGCAGTTTAAAGGTTAATTTAGGCCACCTGACTGCAACATGAAATGCACTAGTACATGACATACTGGTTTATAGCACATAAACTTCCACTGTTAAACTATATGAATATATATTTAAATAACTGCATTTAAAAGGCTTTTTTAGACAATACACTAGAAGACACGGTAAAACTGTGCTATGATTTCAAGTCTAAACTGCAGTTGTAGGTTTAACAATAGACTCCAAAAAATGTGAGGAAACTTTAGAATTTATGCAGTGGTTTGTTTGAATGACACTTGGTACCACAGAGTTAAAAGAAAGCCTACGCAAAGCCTCCTGCTCAAAAACAAAGAACGAGCTGTAACTTTATACAGAGCTGTTTGACCCTCAACATCACAAAGAATTGCTTGTGTCTGAATAGAGCATGTTTCTGCCCAGTGTAGCCTTAGTGGCAAGCCAATATTTCAGTCAAGTGAATAAAACCCCTGTTACCAATGCTAATGGTTATGTGATCAGGCCTCTCTAAAGAGCAGTAAAGCCCAGTGCCTGTTTACCTTCCATAGCAGCTCACACTCGCGCTCCTCCAGGGCTTTCTTATGACGGAGCGTGGTGGTCTTTACCTCTGACTGCACCACCTTAGCCTTCAGCTCCACCTGCTCAGCGATGGCTTGGGCCTTCTCAATGCTCAGCTGTGAATAACAACATTCAGACCACTTATTGTTAATGGAAGACAGCATATAATAAAATGTAAGTGAAAAACAGAAAGAAAGGAAAAACATTTTTTAAAATAACATCATCCATTCAATGGCTGTTTTTGGCTCATTTGCACTTTATCATATAAAACTGATTCTTGTAGTACAAAGCATACAGAAAGCACCTGGCTTCACAAAAAAGTCAAATTTCATGTCTTCAAAGAAAAAAGACTCCAACAAACAGTTTAATTCATTCCAGAACAGAAAACCTTACCAAACCTATAGATAGAAGCTCTTAGTAAAAGATAGTGAATATATTATTCCTAAATACAGACATCTACAAAATTAAGACCTTCCACAAACACACACGCCCAGAAAACCTGAACGGTTCCCAAGAAAGCATGAGGGCTTCCTTTGTGACGTTAAAGAGGAGGAGGGAAGGCGGAAAAAAAAGAGGTCAAACTGCAGTGTCATGACCCTTGGCCTCTGTCTAAACAGTACAATGCTCTGGCAGAGGGGATCTGGGCACAGCTCTCCCTCTCTGCACGTCAACTGCGACCTCAGATCACACTTTCACCGTCTGCCTTTAATGTTCTTTTTTCAGTTTGAGATTATTTCTACCTTTTACATAAACCTAAAGCTGTCTAACTTTTTTTTAACAGCTAACTAAGAAATAGACAGTAAGAAATGCAGTTTTGTGATGGCTGGTCACAACTAAATCTTGTTCTGAAATCTGATTGGCTGAGCCACATTGTAAGGCGTTGTAAAATAATTGACAAATGCACACTTATGAGCGCACACGTCACCTGAATTCTGTATTAATACACAGATATATTAAAAATGTTTCTTGTATGGACTGTGGAACGTAGCACTGATAGACGTTCCAGGCATAAGCATGTATATGAAGTAAACAGCCCAAAACTGTATTAAAACATGCCCTACATAAGAATCTTGTTTTGCTTACACTATAAATTATACTATGTTCATGATTATATGATCAAATACTAATAAAAAAGTTGACATGACTTATCTAAAGATGAGCTAAAGTTTATTTACTCTCATTATGAGCCCAAAAACAAATTACCGTGGCCAGCTTTGGCTCAGTGTTCTCAGTACCTCTTGAAAGCCGTCACCACCCACCAAGTCCTTCTCTATAATTCTGCACACCCATGTGTGATAATGTTGTTTGTGTTATCATACGAGGATGTTTGTTTTTGATGTGGTACATCATTGTAGTTCTGCTGTCATCCTCTCGAATAGGAGTTCATTTTTAGTAGGCCTATCTAGCACAACCTATTTCCTATTAAGCCCTCGTGTGTACCATTCAAAAACATTCCTCAACTTGAATGATTAACCTGCTCGTTCACATAGTAACTGTTCATCAGTAATTAAATCAAATTAAATTACTCTAACTGATAGCATTACTTGAACAATTTGTGGTTTAAAAACTGATCATTTACATGCTAAGGTCCTTAGTTTCAGCCACTAGGTGTTATGCACAGGCATGGTCTGTGGAATATAAGTACACCGGCATGTAAGAACACTCATCTTAAAAATGTCAGTCAAAAATGGCAAACTCCCTATCACTCCTCATTCATATCAATTCCAGAAAGACTGCCGTCACAGGACAGAACGCAACACACGACGTCAACAATTAGATCCTCCCATGCATGTGTTTACCATGCTCTCTGTTAATAAAGCAGCAGAGTTGTTCCAGCAACTCCTGATTGGAACTCCAAGTGAGGTGGGATAAGCTGCTGCTGAACTGAACCGGTAAAATCCGGTAAATGGGATTAGTTAGCGCTGATGCAGCTGGAGTGGTCAGGGGTCTGTTGTGGCACGGGCCTGTCACAGTCAGGGCGCTTTCAGCACTGTGTTTACCACTGGCATTGTTAAAACCCTGCAGGAGCTTTCAAGCCCATAAATGTTTAGAAGCTTCCCATTTAACACCACACAGTAATAGGATTAGGACAAAGTACAACAGTCCAATCGACCGTGTACGGCTGCAGCCAGCCTCTCTACTCCGAGGCTTCAGGCCTGGAGCTGATGAGGTTCTACAAAAGGGGATCGCAAGCCTTCCACAAAAATAGTGTGAGCAGTACGGTGCAATTTTCCAGGTGACCTTTAGTTTCAGGAGATAAATATCACACAAACTTCAGGGGACTGTTAAACCCCAAAACAAGTTAGTAAAAGAGTCAATGAGTAGAACTGTCTGTGCATGTGTGCATCAGTACACCAGCTAGCCAAAGATCAGTGCACTAGAGCAGCAATACCCATCCTGAACAATCTAAGACTTGTTTTGGGTACTACCCCATGTGCAAAGCAGCTTAGTGTGGCAAAAGGGGGTGGTGAGGGGGCAGGAAAGGGCATTCAAATGCAATTGCCACATTAAAGAGAGGGTGGGGCTGCAACACCCCCTGGAATGCCTCTTCAATAGCAGCCTCACTCAAAATGGACCAGTCTGTTTAGCCTTTCACTTTCAAATTCTCTGCTGGGTCTTCTTGCAGATCAGCTCTGCTCAGTGTCACCAAAGAACACATGAACAGCTCTCTCTCTGGGGATGCACACCACCCCACCCCGACCCCCTGCTGTCGTTCTTTCAAGCAAAAGTGTGAGTGATAGAAACATTTCCTCTGTGTTGGACTAATGATCCATCCTGCTCAGGCCATCAGGGCTGTGAATACAGGCTGGCAGTGCACACAGAGCTGCTCTATTCAGGGCGAAGAAGGGGTGGAGACATGATGACCCCTCTAGAAAACACCACAGCCTTCTTTTGACAGTCTTTTTGGAAAGGATACATACATATTTGTGTGTTTTTTTTCCTTTACTTGGGTCTCTTTTAAAACTATGGCAGCCAATAAAGAATTTTAGGCTGAAGCAGTATAAAATAGAGTCTACATGAATGCATGAAAAGCGAAGACAAAATTAACATTTTATAATGACCACAGAACTAAATGACAAAAATTCTATGCACAAAATAATGAAGAGTAGTTAAGTAGTAAAGAGTAGTTCCGTACCTGCACAGCCTGTCTGCCCTGCTGCGCATCAGCAAGCAGCTGGATAGTGAGCGCTCTGGAGTCATGCAGCGCATCCTGCAGGTAGGAGACACTGTGGCCCACGTGTCTCCCAACACTGCACTCCCTACAGATGGGCACGGAGCAGCTCTCACAGAAAAAACGCAGCACCTGTGAGAAAACAAGGACAAAACATCACATTTACAGCAATGTAACTTTGATTTACTGAATCAGGGTATATTCGGCTCAAATGCGCACAAATTCTCATCTTCACCTGGATGTGATTTTTTCCACATTAGATAAATATAATACAAATAGTGAGTTCCATGTCACAAAAAACAAGGAACTTCACAAGTATTGGATCTCTGCCGTCTAAGGCTCATGTTACTGACAAAGTAAATGATGCCTGGAATGCCAAACAAAAGTCTTTTTAGGCCAAATCTGCCCCCTGGGCCAGCTCTGCCCTTGTGTTACTGCTAATGGCAATCCCATATAGTTTACTTTCAAAGAGGAACACTCAGTACGGAGTACTGATAATTCATGTTTGCACAACATTAATAACAGGAATATGACATGCACCCCCTTAAATTATTACACTGCTCAACTGCCAAGCCTATAAATATGTACAATAAAGTGCAATGTATTTGCTTATTATCCACTTTGATTTCCAAACTTCAGTTTGAGCCAAGTATATGAAATTCTCTATGACAACAGTAGGCTTCAAAAAGAGCTAAAGGCAAAAATCAAAATGTCAAAAAAATTATTCTATAGCTAATCATGACTAATTACACTTAATAAATTTATGCAAATTCAGTTCAATTAATTAACATTTTGCATTTACAACACAATTTCAGGAAAGGTTTAGGTGCATGGTCAGTGACTGACCATTAGGCATAACATGCAACCCTTAAGTGTTATATGTCTGAAATAACACAATTATCAAGTAGTCTCAGTGTTCTGTATCTGTACACACAGTTGTCAAGGTTTGAGAAAGTGGCACTTTGGGTGGAGAATGAGCACAATAGCTTATCAGTTGAGTGAGCAACACTGATGTGGAGCAAAGGGGGTCCCTGCCTTTGCCAGTTCTTTCAAGCACCAAACAAAGTCACACTTGCTCTCAGTTTCCTATGTTCTGACAAGTTGGTGATGGATTGATGACCTGTTGTTCTGTCATTCATCTGTTCAGGAATTATTTCATTGTTGTTTAAGGGACGTCCATCAATCAAAAGATTAGGTTACAGGTTTTAAGGGCTCAAGTTTTAAGGAAAAAAAGCTTTCCGGCATTTGAACAAGATAGAAAAAAAAATCACTAAATATGCTTCTAAATAAAATGTTTCCTTAGGAGAATAAAGGGAGGGGAGGGAAAGGGACCCACACATGCACACACGTACACGCACACACATGCACGCACACACATGCACGCACGCACATGCACACACAACCCATCTCCATTTCAAACCCCCAACCCCCACACAAACACACACACACACACCCCTCAGCCCACTCTCATGTAAAGTGTTCCTTTCGAGATCTCTTCATGCCGCCTTGTCGAAACTTAACAGCTTTACCAAAGGCCCGATCAAACGCTAATTATATCTCTGCCGACCACAGAGCAGAAGCAGCTGCGAGTAAAGTCAGAGTTGTGATTCCACTCGAGTTACCTGCTCGTAAAAGTCGGCCCTTTCTCTGTGGACCAGATGGCCCGACAGTGGTAGTGTGTATAGAGTTCATGTGGAAGTGCATCCTGGGAAAAGGCCTTCAGGACGGATGAAGAAGGCGGGTGTTCTCTAAAGCTCTTCTAGAGAGATGACTAACAAATGCGGAGTTCCCATCTATTTGTGTACACTCACCGAAAAAAAAATGTACTGTGTGTACACAGAAAGAAAAACATCTAATGAAAAAGAGCTAAAGGATTTGGCTGTATAGTACAATATATATAACTGAATAATAAAACATACTTTTCTTTGATGTTAACAAAAAAATTAAACAAAATATAAATACTGGACTGAATAAAAAGAGGAAATAATTTTAGACAAAAAAAAAGTTTGACATTTTGGACTCTTTCTATAAACAGGCTCCTTTCAATTTCTACCTGGCTGCATACACCAAAGCCATCTCTCAGACAGCTGGTATAAATCTTTGGTGAAGTCTTTGTGTGTGCGCTCTCTCTTTGTCTCATTCATTCTCTTTTTCAGTGTCTCTCTCTCTCTCTCTTCCACTCCTGCACACACACACACACTTTCTCTCTCTGAGAGGAGGGCCTCTTGCTTGCAGCCATGGGTCTTCCTTAAACGTCTTAACAGGAATAGAAGGATTCAGTTTCTCCATCTTGGACATAAAGTAGAGATTCAGGCACAAAGAGAAGCTTGTGGCTAAATTAAGCCTTTGGCAAATACTGGCAGCTAATTATTCATATTGCTGCCAACCATCATTACCTTACAGATAACTGTTTCCTGGGCTAGACTCCACAAGTCTGCATGAGCTGTCCAACTATTTTGTGTATCATGTGGGCGAACAATTTGTACATAACATTTCAGTTTGATGAAATGCTGCTAAATGTAGCACGACCTTCATCTACATATGGAAGCACGCCACAGCAGTTCTCTAGCTGTTATGGAAAGATCTACCAACTGCAGAAAGAATGAGTGAACTAATGGAGCACATTTCAAGCTGTTAAACTCTTTGCATCTAATTCTCCTCCTCTTAAAAAAGCCATAAACTCATGTTCCTCAATTATTTAAGAAAAAAAATGGTTTATAAACTATGGGTGTTAAGACTGTGTTCGAGTTGAGTTGGAGCAAAAACAAAATTTACCAAAAAATGTACCAATTTCTGATTTGCAAATTGCACAGAATAGTCATATTTACAGGGGGGAACTAGGTATTCTAGTTAATACAGTTTAAAGTTTCAGATATTTAATTTCCAGGCAATTTTTCAGCAGCAGGAAAAAAATATCAGAAAACATAGTTAACAGAAGACAAAAGCCTCAGCAACTAAATATAATCTTTTTTCAGTATTCATTGTGTCCTTATTCAATGATGCTGAGGTCTGGACTCAGTCCATTGTTCTGAGAACACCAGCATCTTCTTTGTTTGATTTGCAAATTTTTGCAAATTTTAGATCTATAATTAGGGCTGAAAGGTTAAACATTTTTATACAGAAATCAAAAAAAAAAAAAGTGTTTTATTCAAATGAAAGATGGATTTTTTTCTTGTGGATTTTTTCAGATCTGAAGCAAGAGTGGAGCTTGATTTCCTCCTCGCTCTCAAAGATTAAAGCTTTAAGTGCTGTTTATCTGATAGGGACAGATTCAGTGGTCTACCAGGTCTTGCACAGATATTAGGAATTGGATTTTCTCTGTATCTTTGAAACATTTCTTGAACTCTAGTTCTGGAAACTCCTGCTTTTCACTTATTTTCTGTTGACTTTCCTCTTTCTTATGCAAGTGAACTATTTTATATATATAATCTTCTCAGAAATATCTCCTGAAAAATTAATGACTAATTAAATAAACGAAGAGTGGTGTCTGGCTTTTGCTGTGACCTTTCACCTTTTCCAGTGGTCAAACACTGAAAAATACATACAGCTTCTGTGTTTCTATATAGTATATGTCCTTTTTAAAACAGCAAAGAAAAGGCTACACACAGCTATAAGAATGAATTCTCTGGACCTCCATGCTATCTCCATCCAGTGGTGGGCGTATCTTTCAACAAGCATCTGAATAGAGTGAAGATGTATTTATTTATTAACCATCTTGTACGTCCAACGTTCCAATGAGCACATGACTGCAGCATAGATTTGGAACTGAGTACAAAGCATAGAGGTATTACATTTAACTAAAGGTGTACTCTAGTATGTAAAAAAAACAAAAAAAACAAAACATGTATTTGAAAAGCACAAAGTTTGGTCATCACTAAGTGTTCCTTCACTGTCTGGGGTGGTCACCACAAATACATAAATCTACAAAACTCACAAAACCGACCTCTGCTTTAGTATTTCCCTCTCTCCAACAAACGTCCCTCCATCTCACCCCACTCTCACATACACACATGCAGACACACAGATTCCAAACCAAAGTAACACAAGTTAACACCCACATCCCTTAATGCCTTCAGTGTGGCAAATTCACAATGGGCTCAGAATATTTGGTCAATATATGACAGCTGGGATAGGCTCCACCACCCCACCGCGACCCAGAAGGATAAGCGGTTTAGATGATGGATGGAAGGATGGATGTTGGGCTTGGGTCAGGTTCAGATTTCACATTCTCATGACCCACCTCCCTTTTCTTCCCAACTGTTAAATATTTTACCCTGTGCTTCCCCCGTTTTGTTTTCCTGCTCACTTTATTCTTCCCCCCTACGGTCATTACATTAAAGCACTTTTTAATCTGGCATGCTGGGGTCACTCATGTTGTTGAAAGAATTTAGCACAGAGGTCCACAAGTACAGCGTTTCTGAGAAAAAAGGACGTTTGAAATAAAACCACAAACTGATTCAGGACAAGACCATGAGCAGAGCCGTCAAAAAGACTTGTATTTGTTTGCAAAGTATTTTTATGTTCAATATTTTACATGTAATTTGTTCTATTAAAGAAATAGACAAACATCTCGCTATATCAGCACTGCACAGCGTGAGCATAGAGCTGTATGGAATGGACACCTGATTATCTTATTGTCAAATTATTATTTACTTTATTTATTATTACTACTTGTTTTTACATTATATTTTATATGTTTGTAGTCTAATGACATCTTAATGGTATTGTTTCTATAGAGTAATATAATTGGCACCATCATTAGAAAGATCAGGCTTTTTTTTGGTGCTTTGAGTTACTATGGGCTAGTTTTGATCTGTTTTGGACAGAATTTTGTTGAGCCCTGGGTCAGTTCTGGACAAGCAACTTGATATCGTAATTAGAACTGGGTCAGGATCTGGCAATTATGTCGGGCTCAGGTCAGTTTCAGACTTAGATAATGATGCTGTGCCCAGTAGAGCCGGACTCAGACAGAAAATTCCTAGCCTGTATTCACATTCAGACCAAAATTTCAGTTTTTCGGACCAAATTTCAGGTGCATATTTCAGGGGAACGCTAAAGAACATACCGGTCTACTTTTGTGATTTGATTTTAGCTGTAGCTAAAAATACTGAATGGAAAAAAGCAATATCTGA